AAGCTTGTCAGCAGAAGATATGCTCAACTTCAGAGAATCTGTACGCGCTTTTCTTAGCAGAAGAAACCAGTGGGAACGGAATGCGGACTGAAACTGAATTTCTCTTTCCATTTAGCCATTGCCACCATTAAGGTATGCAATGAACCTAAGGCAATGAACCGCCTAATTTCTGTTTCTGTTTCCATCTGAAATTCTGTTTATTCCGGTTTATTACCGTTTATAAAATTTCGAATTCTATCGCATGAAGCAGACTCCGTTGCTTTCTAGAAAAGCACCAGATACTGAAGTAGCACTTACAGAATGTGTGCTAAAGCAGTAGGTTCGCAACGTCATATTTGGACAACAATCTGTCCCGACGTCTAACTTGTTCAATTAATCGCCTGGACAACATTTGGAACTCGAAAACTGTTGAACTTTCCTTAGAGAAAACATAACGACTTCGCTGCGGTGGCTGTATTTTGAATTAAACCGCTGAAGCATAGACTCGTCATTAAACACTGAAAACAGAAATGCGTTAATAACGGCTCAAGGCGAAAGATAGAGGGGAAACTTAGTGAGTAGGCCGAGCCAATGTCGCCTTGGCGTAAGACTCACTGTCTATCGAACTGAACTGGATATGTTCTGAACGTGAGGTGCCCGTTTATTAAACATAAGCACCTCAGACGACATCATAAAACACGAGAATCAGCCAGCAACAGGCTATATTTGCAAAATATATTTGATGGGAAACTGCCGGATTGCATCAATAAATTTTATTAAACAACCAGTTTTCTATGCTCTTCAAAATGTATCTTCCATCTTTCAACCCAATGTTTCGATTCAGTAATTCAGTTCCATGTAGTCTGACCCTGAAGGCGATGCAAGCATCACGAGAGAAATAAAAGTTTTTCAAACTGCGAAATTCTGCTCAAACTCATTTACTAATTTGAAACCCTGTCATTAAACAGAAACAGTTATTCGCAAGCCACAGACAACAGAGTAAGTGTGAAGTTGTGAATCTTAGAAATCACGAGAAAAAACATAATTGCATCAGTCCGGTAGCTGAGATGTATTTTCGCATTTGCTATTCAACAATAATCTCGACTTTCTTCTTCGAAATAGTGCTGCCTTTGTCAAAGACGAAGGCGCTGTTAAAGATATCGTGCTGATCTGGAGTACGCAGATGACATTGTCCTGGTCAGTAACACGGGAAGCGATCTCTGTCACTTGAAGGCTTTCGTATGCAGCACAGCTGCAAAAGCCGGAATCTTCCGTAGCCCCCGGGAATTAACAGCTCCGGAATCCCATTCATCACACCTGATCTATATGTGGAACAGGAAGGGAAGTTCTTCAAGAGATTGACCATTTTTGGCTTCTCGGTTCCATCATCTCCAGTGAGGGCACTATTCAGCCACAATTTAGTAGAAGGATCGCCCTACCCTTAAGTGCTTTTGAAAACCTTCCCAATATTTGCACTGAGAAAGGAATTACTCTAAGCGGGAAATTCCGCCTTGCCTCTCTCAGGTCGGCGATGCGGTACGGCATGTAGATAGGCTGAATAATGAAGGTGCAATAATGAGTGCTGATCTGAGTGCAGCTGCGTTGGCTTTGATACACAATGAGGGCTAAATGGCAGGAGCATATAAGGAATGACGCTATTATCTTCCGAGCGCAATGCCAGTGGATGTGCAGATTCAGAAATGGAGGTTAGCTCTGTTGTGAAAGCTGGCTGAGCATTCTACATTTACTCCAGCTCATGAGGTTGTCGCGTTGGAGCCGAAACACGGCAAGCGTCGATCAAGAGGCCAGTATGCAACATGAAGGAGCAAGGTAGAGCCAGATCTGCTTTCGGAGAGGAGAATTTCTTTCTGCTATGTAATAACCTGTGCCTTATAAAAAACGTGCTTAGGCGCTGGGAATACACCGAACGTTACAAACCAGGGACGTTCTGCCTACGCAAATGACTCAATTGACTATCTCAGCAAGCAACAACTATTCAAGTGGCGCACTTGTGGTCCACTTTTGATTTCTTGATGCCACTAATTCAATGGTCTTAGAACTCTTTCCTGTTTAGTTCATGAGTCTTCGTCTTCCTTTTGTTTATAGTAGGATAGCATGATGAAAACATGTCAAGATGATTTCTTCAGGGAATAGCGACATCTGGTTCCAAA